TACTAATAAGTAGTTAGATTGTAACGAAAAAATTTCATAAATCGTTTACTTAAAATTGAAATTGTTAAAGTAATTATAATTTGATTCATCGTACATCTATCGTTCTGTATCAATCTCCGAGTTATGCTGCCATTGGCTGCTTGATTTTTAACTACTGCCAATTCTGTAAAAAGTGGGCAGACTTTTTAAGACCTTACAGTTTATAAAAAAGTGGAATTTCTATTTTTTAGCTTTTAAAATGAAATGTTTTTAATTGAAGATTTTAGATACTGTATAGATCACTTACAATTAAAAATTATTTCAAGACTAGTTAATTTGATGATTTACATGACTGTACATTGTTTAACTGAGATGYATACCTTCTTCTGCCTAGTGCTCTGTGTAGCACTAGATTCTTCCTTGTTTTTACATGTACCACTTGTATGTAATATATCCTTAAAAAAAAAAAAACATTACAAATGAAATTTAATAAAATCATACATAATTTTAATCATAATGTCCAAAAATAAATTTATCATATTCTCTCTGCAATGTTGTACCTTCTCGATGGGCTTAATAGCCATATAGTGCTTGCTTGTGGAATCATGCAAAAAGTAAAGCGACCCTAGCTGAATTCCTGTCTCTGCWTTCTTCCTCACCAATTCAACTGACCATTCACCAGAACCATCCTAAAAATAAAAAAAATTATAATACATGTATATTACATGTAGTTGCATTATTCACATTAGAAGTTTTCAATTTGTCATTGTGCATACAATTTTTGTCTATTTATTTGTATATAGACAAAGACTATGGCAGTGTACATGTAAGGAGTTGGGCACATAAGTAAGGGTTTGTAGAAGGGGGAGAGAGAGGGGGGGGTGGGGGTGCTTAATTTCATTAATTGTTTTTGGTAGAAGAATGGGGATATTAATRCTTGTTGTAAAATGTAAGAGCCTGGAAACTAGAGKTCAGCCATAATCAAGACTTCAGTTACTGTTTAGCACTATTTACAATAATTGTTCACTTTAAAAATGGAATACAATTAACAGAAAATTACATTGAAATAGTGTGGACACAATAGTGKGGATTTAACAGTCAATRTCTTATTTTAACACCGCTTAACATTAATCTCCCTGTATTTCCCTGGGGTCAGGGTACATTATTTCTCAATAATCACCCTTACCTTTCGAGCTGTCAGTATTACCAGCTCATAATTATGCAAGACCYCTGCTGTAGCTTGAATAACAACATCAGTAGCATATTCTTTCCTTAACTCYTYCAGAGCTTGCAACCAGGTATCAGGCCTTACACTGCTTGAAAAGTCTTCATTGCAAAGAAAATCAAGCTTGTCATTGCCCTTTACCTGTAGCAAAAAAAATGCATAATTTATTTTCATGGAACATAAGTTAATCACTTATTTTGTTGATATCAGCTAAAAATTATGTAATTATCAGTAACAACCGGTTATTTCCACGAACACTGAATAAAAAAATATCTCCAAAAAATGCTTTGTATACATTACTGCGCGAAGACCAATTCCAAGTTGCCCAAGAAATCCTTGCAAGTTACGTAATAAGTTTAAAAGTAGGGAGACGAAATCTTAGACTAAAGGTATGTGCACTATACTAGAGCGTAGTGTTTATATTACAATCGCGTTACAATCGCTAGAATCGCTGAATATATCTACATTCCTATTGCTAGCAYCGCAGGAGATTGTTTCCTCGCTAGGATCGTTGAACCTTCTTTACGGCAATCGTGGCGATTCTACGATAAGATTACAAGTAAACCACGCTTTTAATAGTTCTCACACCTTTTAAGTGGCCTTTTGAAGACTTTGAAAGCTGGGGCTTTTTCTCTAATATCAGACTAATTCACAAAACAGTGCACAAGAATAAGATAGTTTGCACATTTTTTGTTCTAAGTTTGTTATTTAAAAGACAAATGGAATATAGTATACTCACATCAAACCTATGGCTTTCTAAGTGTTTAAACACRGCATCCTTGAGGGAATCTTTGTTGAATTTCAACTGAAACGCAGCAGTCCAAAAGAAGCAATCACCATCCCCGGAATGATTGCACACCACTCTGTAACCAGCCCTAAAGCCTTATTCATTTTAGAATTATTGGTATAAAAAACGCTAAAAACTCCTACGACAACTTTAAGGTACTAACACGAGAAAGTGAGAAAATCCTGTGCGCTTAGTCATCTGATCTCGCGGGAAAGTTCATTTGCTATTTGGGTTTCCTGTTTGTCAGACCAGTCTCGCGCGGTCGAAAGAAAAAAATGGCGCCTGACTCTAACTCTTCTCACGGCGCTTCGATGATCAAAACATTCGCGATAACGTACTAGAATCGTGCTACAAACCTGATGTAAATATGGATTGTGATTTTTTTAAATTCTGTTTTCGTAAAAGACTTTTGAGAAGTTCTGGTAGGTTTTTCTGTGACCCTCGACATTACCCTCGACCCTCGACATGTTTACCCTCGACCCTCGACATGTTTACCCTCGACACTCGACATGCTACCCTCGACCCTCGACAAAAAGCCAAACTCGCTATGCTTGTCCAGTTGACTATCTTTCCATCTTCATACCCTTCTATTTCCTTCAGCAGCCCTTCCTTATCCCACATCATTTTTGCAAAGTTTCCCACATGTTTCTTGATAGTCTTTTGTCTTTTGGTTCTTTCAATAGCCTCTTGTTTGGTTTCATAACCAGCATTCACTCTTTCCCTCTTTCTTGAAGCAAATGATTGTCTTGAGCCAAGGCATCTTTTATAAAAAATGTTATATGATTAATTAATTCAGTTTTTGTGACGAAGGCCTTCTGGGAAGGCTTCGTAACTATGTCATCGGGTCTGAGTGAGTTGTAGCCATTCCAATTGAAGCAGGCGTTCCTAGCGGTTATTTAAACACGTGATCGTTGTCCTGACCATGTGCGTTCTTAGCGACGTGTTAGTAGTAGTGTAGGGATTAAATTATACCCCGAAGGTATAAGGTATGGGGGTATTTTAAGGTATGGGGGTATATTTTTAGGTATGGGGGTATT